AGATATATTAGATTAATTTAAAAATTGATAAATAAAGTTTAGAAGAATAAAATTTTCAATTAAACAATTAGTTTTTTTAAAAAATTAATTAAAAGATGAATTCCCAGACAACTCTTTTAAAAAATGAGCTATAAAATAGTTCGTCTTAAGTTAATTATAAATTTTACGATAATACTATAGTTATAATATTACTTATAATCATAAATTTATAATGACAATATAACATTAAATAAATACATATATATAATATTATGCATAAAATTTTAATTAAAAAATTAATTACAAAATAACATATTATATTATAAATTTATAATATTATATAATATTATTACTATAATATTTTTATAAATTTTATTTGTATCCTTAACTTTATTAGTCACTTTTTACCTGATAATTTGAAGAAGGAAAGGTAAGGGACGGGAAGAGAGAAAATCCGATTGTCATCTCTTCTCGGTTTGTGTTCAGAGCTATGAAAAATTATACTAATCCGGCATGCATGGAGGTGAAATCACCGGCTCCGCTGTCGATCAGAGGAGGGAGGTAGCCACCCTGGGAACCTTCAACCTCCGTGAGAGCAGAGCCTCGTTCTTAAACTTTTGCCTAATAATTTGAGTCCTGACATTTTGAGTTTTCGAATTCTCAAAGTCTAATCCCATTCCCTTCTATAAGGTCCCACATCTTTTCCTACGGTGTGGCGGTGCAGGTGTAAATGTATCTTCGTACAAGGTTAGACACGGCACCCACAACAGTATTAAGGTTTAATACTGTTGTGGGTGCCGTGACTTGCCGAGTATTAAGGACCTTAATACTGTTGTGGGTGCCGTGACTTGCCGAGTATTAAGGACCTTGTATGAAGATACATTTACACCAGCACCACACTAAATTTAGCTTAAATAACGCACACCTACTTGTCCCCTCAAGTAAACTCCTTTAGCTTTTTTTTTTTTTTTTTGAAACGTGTAAACTCCTTTAGCTTATATAAGGCAGGACCAGAATGGGCATTCCCTACTCTTTTTCTTCTGGGCCAGCACAGATTTTATTCTTCGCAGCTCCAATTGATGTACTTGGCACAATTGCAGAATGATGTCTACCGCCAGCCAAATTCTTCAAATTTCGAGGTATGAGCTCTGAGTTTTCACGAGATTGAATAGCAATACTGTTTTTGTGGTAACAATTTTATATTCCTTCCCCGGCTTTTCAAAAAAAAAGAAATGTTATACCCTTTCCTTTTTTTTTTTCAACATAGTTTTGAGATGTTACCTTCTTCAATTTACTATCATTAGATTTGAAAGAGTTAGTTATGTTTAGCTTACAGTTGTATAATTTTTATATAAATTTTGAGTTATTTATTTTAAAATTTCAATAACTAATGTAATATATAAGTTTTTAAAAAAATCTCTTAAGTTTTAAAATGTGTGATTGAAAATTAGTTAAGAATTTTTTAAATTTAATTATAAAAGTGTAAATAAATCCCTATTTAAGAGTTATATCTTTTATTAGAAATTAATTTTATAATTTTTTATTTAAAATTATTTTAAAATAAAAAATTTTAAATTTAATTATAAAAGCTTATTTCTCATTCCAAAATCAAAAATAAAAATAGTCATAATATTTACTATTGGATCGATCGATGTTTAAATGGAAAAAAAAAAAACAACTACTGCCGTTCCTTGATTTTTGTTGGTGCTTTAAGATTCGTTGTTTAGTATTAAAAGGTTTTAAAATTAGACATTAGTCCAAATCAAGGTCATTTGATTTGTTGGTTGGATGATTGATTTACATAAGAGGGAAAATAATTTAAAGGATAATTTTTATAGATGGAGTATAAATTTTTTTTCATAATTGAATATATTATTTAATAATTGATTCGTTTTATTCTATTAAAATTTATAATATTATACGAATTTACTTATATAATATTATTATTAAATTAGTGTATGTATATAAGATCATAAATTTTATTTACTTAAATTATTAAATAACATATAAAGTTATATAAAAAATTATACAATAAAATCTATCCTTTAATTGTTTTCACAAGAGGTATAGAGTTTCTGAGGTACTTATATAAAAGAGAGGTATAGGGTTAGCTTAAAAAAGTTCTTTTTTTTTTTTAATACTAAATCTCTCGATATCTCAAAAGTTACATAAGATTTCGATTAATTTAGAATCAAATCGTGTTAAACTGAAAAACTCTCCCAATGCCTACTTTTTTATTCACAAAACTAAAACTTAAAATTCTAATTAAAGAGATTCTAATTTCTTCCGTTCAAATAAATAAATAGTTGGTTTAAAACTTCATCTTTGATACTAGAGAAATTCATTTTTCATTTTCCATTTTCCATTTTCTTTCCCAGCCTCCCTGGGTCACTATCCGAAAAGTCAAATAAAGTGGCATTTTTCACATTTCACACTCTGGTTTCTTTGAATTCTTTCCCTCATTTATACTAATAGAATTTTTCATCCATTTCTCCGCCTTTTCTTCGGAAAAAAAAAATTTTACCTATTGATTGCATTTCTTTCTGAAATATATTCTATTCTGAAATTTTTTTAAAAAAATATTTGATTATTTATGAAGAGCTATTACTAATTACATAATTACTTTTGAAAAAAATCATAATATTACTTTTTTAAATAATGTTCAATTTATAAATAAATACTAACAAATATCAACGGTTAAAATTAATTATCAATATCAACTATTCCGGACGACCTTTCGTTATCACCAAGTTGTTTCCCACAAAGATCGACTATGTTGAAACCTTTATGAATAAAGAATGTGGGCCTAAAGTTTAATTTCATTACATTAAGCCCGGTGCCATATTGGGCTTGCTAATAAACTTTGCCTTGTGATTTGGATTTGCAGACGGGGAGACTCGTTTTCTACCCAAATCACAACCATATTGGGCCTACTAATAACGGCTTTCTCTCCTTTAATTCAACTTCCGGTTCTTTCACCGCCCTTGTCATCTTTTATGTTGTCCACATATGCTGTAATGATGATACTGTGCGCCATGCCACTAATTGCTGACGTTAGTCTTCGAGGGACAGGAGTTCGTTTCCACTTGCATTGGAGTGAAATTATGAGGACTAGCTCCATCTTGACAGGTTTATTAGCGGTAATTTCACTCATTTCAATTAGCAAACCATATATTGCCTTGGTCTCATTCCTTGTGTGGCTTTTCTTCGCCAATCACCTTATTCACAACTTAATTCGAGTCTTAAACCAACCAATATTACCCTTTACTGTCAATACCAATTTTATTATCGATACCAATTCTACTAATACAGTATTTAATATACTGAAAAATTGGGCAATAAACTTGTTCCATTGGTGTAAAGAGTGCATGCAGCAGTTTCAGTGATCACATTAGTGTCGCATTAACAGATAGATTCCATAAGTGTGAAGAATCTATTTGATTGTCACATTAGTCTTGTTGTTGTTCTAATTTTTTCTTTTTTTAATGTGATGTGATATGCATTGAATATAATTTTCAGTCTATGTAATATGTGTGTGTTTTTCTCAATAAATAATTCTATTATCTTTTATGATATTTTTGTCTATTGCCATGACAGAACAAATCACTATTTGTATTGAACCAACACTACCTGCCTTTAATTAATGCTATGAATTTCCTTTTATGTACAAAAAAAAAAAGTATGTTTTTTTAACAGAGTGTAATGTAATGTGTTGAGAGACTAGACATTTAGGGTTATTAAGCTAAAAATCAACTTCTAAAAAAGGTTTTTATTGAAAAAGTGGTTTAGAAATTATTGTATAGTTTGTTAAAAAAAGTATACAGAAAGTTGATAAATTTTGTAATAAAATTATGTTCAGTTGTTAGTTTTTCTATGTTTGTTAACATAGAAAAGATTAATAAGAAAATTGTTAAGTTAATCTCACGTGATGAAAGTTTTTAATTGTACAATTAATAAATTAAAATCAACTTTAAATTTTTCTGTACAAATGAAAAAAATACAATTAATGCATTCTAAGCCTACATGTTAAAGACCCTTTGAAAAATTGGATCTATTTAGTGCCTTACCATATAATGTTGTAAGGGTAAAGTCACACATTGATAGCTGAATACTCAATTTTATTTTATTTATTTATATACAAAAAAGAGCAACAAAGATTCAGTTCACCTTCTGCCTCTTCAGTCCTGACCCATTTTCCTTCATTTTCAGTAATTTGGCCCCCTTGCATCTGTTGCCTTTTAGTTTGCTTGGCTGTTATGTGATAAAATAAGAATTAGACTCTAATGGGCCTTCCAACTAACAGAAAAGATGAAGTGAGAATTGGGCTATAATAGGCCTTGCAAGAAGTAACAACTATTGTCATCAAAAGTCCCGAGTGAGAATAAATTTTTTATTTTTATTATTTTGGACTTGACCAAGAACACCCTAGCAGATTACAATTTTAAGTTGAAAGTCTCGTACTCAAATACTGATGCAAGAGAAGGGTTTAAATTTAAACATCTGTTGTTTTCTTAAACCATTGCACCCAGGACTCTATGCTTAACATTTTTCAACTACATTTGCAAGCAAATGTATAGTTGTCCAGAGAATATTAGATCCAGCTTCTATTCAAATAAAATTAATTGTTTCGATTAAGTTGTGGACTAATTAAACATTTCACTCAAGTCAAAACTTACTACAAAAAATAAAATGTGTTAGGTGTAAACCTCCATAATATTACACATTGGGAAAGCAACTCCAAAAAGAAAGCCCTGATGTATGTGGGGTACCATAACTTGGGTTTTTATCCCTTTGAATGGTCCAAAAAAACTAAACTGACTCCTAATTTTCTCCCTTTTTTCTCTCTTCTCTAGAAATCTCCAGCCTCTACCTTAACCCTCTCCAGATCTCGCTTTTTTTTGAGTGCTCAGAAGCCTCCGGGCTTCTCAAGTTTTTGATGTTTGAGCAGTCGGAGGGCTGCTCAAGCATGGTGGAACCGGTCAACCGTGCTCTATATCCGGTGTCCGTTTTAGATGGTCTGCCGGTTCTTTTGTGGCCCTCGTGGTGGCCTTTGCTCTACTTTCTTTTTGTTTCTTGTTTTTTGTTTGAGTTTTCTCAGATCTAGGGGCCAACAAGCCAATCATGAAGAATTTCGGGACTGGCCGCCGCTTACTTTAAAGTTCTAACCTCGGCATCCTGGAGAATGGGGGTCATTTATGCGAGAGTAGACGGAATGGTGTCTAGATCTTTGGAACGACCAACCAAAGGAAGCTGTCAATCTGTCTCCTTAACGGTTGATTGTGTGGAATGCTCACTGCCCTTCTTTATCTGTTTATGTTGAACTTGATCTATTTTCCATTTTTTCTTCAATTGTACTTAATTTGTTTGTAATTTCATTTATGTCATCTGAATTTCTTTATAGATGCCGTATGGTTTTATTGAAATGATAAACATTTAACTGAGT